AATATTTTGCTAGTTAATGAATAAAAATGACAATTTCAGTTGATCTGATCAAAATTTCAGACGAATATTATTAGTTATAATAGTGATGAAGTAGATTGATTGTATTCTGATTCAGATCAAAATGGCGATTTGTGGATGAATGGGTCCACCCTATAAACGGGCGTGACGTATGGGTGTGGCAAAAGTCGAATCTTGGCCATAGATCGCACCCCTCTGCCTTTACAGGCGTACGAAACCACCACCACCAGTGACGAAGTACTTAAATTTCATCATTTGTTATTTTCGTGTTAAAAATTTTGTTGGAAAAATTATGATGTGAAATGATTTCATGTTGAAATTCCTGAAAAATTCATATACAGTGAAACCTGCCAAGTTGGACACCTGCATAAGTTGACCTCAATTATCAAGAACGGAATTTTTCCTATATAATATAAAGAAGCAAAACCTTTGTAGTGAAATGAGAAACTATTGAATGACAAACTATTATTCTTTGAAATGAGATACTAAATTAAAAAAGTCAGTAACTTAAAGTTAAAAGAATTTTTCCTCTAATTGAAAATTTGTTTTTCAATAAAAACAATATATTCAACAAGGCTAAATATATTTTTTCAAAATCTATCTTAATTTCTTTAAAAATTAATGCGGCACCAAAACATTAAAAAAATTAAAAACAAATTTTTGTAAAATTGCTTAAATATATTATGTAGCAAACTATAGTGTCCAGTGTGGGTAGAATACAATGTTTTCATTTAGTAAACAAAGTTTTAGTAGAAGACAAAACAAAAAATTTAAAAATCAAATTTATTGCAAATATTACACAATAGTAAATTTTATTTTTTCACGTCAAACTAAATTTCAAAATATTAATTTGTATGACAAATGAATATTTTGCTTACTAAAGAAAATTTAAAGTGATATCTTTGTTAAAAAGAAAGCAAGAATCGTTTTAATAACTAAGGGGGAAATATCTCCAAACGAAAATTAGATCATTTTCAGTAAGGTAGCAATTCTTAAAAAGTGGATACAAATTTAAAATTTTTGCAGAGTGGGGGAAAGATATATGTTTTCTACAGAATTCACATTTCAAGTATTAAAAAAATTATTGCAGGCGAAGTATCATGTCCTTTCATATCAAAACTATAATTTAAAAAAATTATTTGAAGTACTTATATAAAAATTGCAAAGCGAAATTAAGCAAAATTAAAAAGCTTAGCTAAAAGTTCAAAAGAAACCAGAACGAAAATCGTGTTAATATTACAGTCCCTGGCCACATTATTCGACGCATTTTTCAAGATTCTATGAAAAATCTTAACTATCAGGTAATACTATGCAGCTTTATTGTTTTCATGCGACTGAAACCGGTTTGCAATCGTGTATCAGTTGGTTAAATTAGACAATATATAACATAATTTCAACGATTGGATAAATTTAACAATATGTTATATAGAATATTTATTATATCAAGCATTATATTAGTGTATTATAATAATTAGACCAAATTGCGAAACGCACTGTAGTTTCTTAATAATTACATGTTTTATACGAGTTTATAGCCGATACTTTTATATTTAAAGACACATGTAATGGGAATTTATGCAGGAGAATTTTTTTTATACTTATATACTTCCTATTTGTATTTATTTTAAACTTATTGTATTACAATGTTAACAAATTGATACAGGAGCTTAAACAAATGCAAACCGGTTTCATCCGGGTAAAAACAATACAGCTGTATTGTATCACATGATAATTATAATTTTACATGGAATCTTATAGTGCGTCTAATAGCATAGCCAGGGACAGTAGACAGCTGCTTTTGTTGTGATTGGTCATCATTTCCTGGGTACGTAAAAGTACGCTTCTTTGCTGATATTCTTGGGCAAAATATCAAATTCGTGTAAACAAACTAGTTCCTCGTTGTTTTTTAACTATCAAATTATGGACCGACAGATTTTGAAGAATTTCAGCTAAGATAGTGTTCTATTTTGGTGGAATCAAATTGCTCCACGGGTTTCGAAACGAAAATTATTTTATAACCGCTTTTACGACTTCAGCAAACGGACTCATTCTTAGGGCTTTTTACTTCCTTTTTAACCTAAGTTCTAAAAAGGCAAAAAAAGAATGTATTATGAATTAAAATACTTAACTTTATCTAAATGCCAGTAAAGGTTTATTTTTTAAATCAAAGTTTTATTTTTACTACCAAGAAAAAAAATAACTTTTCTGACAGAAAAATAAGTTCACTAACCTGTTACACACATGAAAAATCCGAATATCCCGGAAGGCCATGCTGCGTATTGTCTGTTCACTTCGAAGACATCCACAAAGGCTTTGTAAATAAGTGCGTTAGATCTCAGAACACCGAGGAGACAAAAGTTGACCCAAAACGCTGCCACAATCACGACGAAATCCTTTTCGCTCATCCCATTGTCCATGAATGATCATTCTGATAGTCCAGCATTACATTTGTTTTCGTAAACTTTCAACTTTGGAAAGCGTCCAAATTTCGCCTTCCCTAAGCCTTCAACGCTTCAGATTACTATTCCTCAAAAAAGATAACTAGCGTGAAAATGACGTCAAGAAATTTTTTTTTTCTTCATTCAATGAAATGAAAGATATTTTTTAGAAATAAGCTGATTACAAGACAATATTGTATGAACGTAGAAAAGATATATAGCTTGTTTTAACGATCGAGTGTGACCTGTTTACAAGTCACTGACAAAAGGCTGATATTAAAAAAATAAAAATTTATAACGAGTTAAATATGATTAGCCTTCTGATTTTACGACGAAATCAGTTTCAAATAATGACTCATTAACTCTTTCAGAATCGACTGGATATATATATATATA